GAAAAAACTATCTGAAGATCCTGGAGAGTGACCAAAAGCAAGTGGAAACTGAAGGGGAGTCTACACTGGAAAAAGGAAATAACACTAGGTGAGGTTCTGTTTTCATGGTTTTAACAAGCGTAGCCACTATTCTCTACTGCACAGAACAGGTAATATTTCTTGTATAAATGAAAACAACTAATTTTAGAGCAGTCTGACAGTGCTGGGGTGACCACAGCAGTTGGGAAGTGAGAGGGGGAAACCTCAGAAAGGATTGAGTGACAGTGGATGCTCCAAATTCTGCATAAACTCTGCCTATATCTCTGACTGACCTTTAATTATGCATGTGTAGTTAGTTCAGTTTTCAAGCATCTCAGTTAAGCATAAAATAACTCAACACAAAATTTCAGCTGCCATCCAGCAGAGAAGATAAAATGCTATAGACTGAATATGTGTCCCTCTAAGTTTATATTTTGAAATGTAATCCCCAATGTATCTGGAGGCAGAGACTTTGGATGGTGATTAGATCATGAGGGTGGCACCCTCATGAACAGGATTAGTGCCCTTACAGTAGAGACCCCAGAGAGTTCCCCTGTTCCCTTGTACTGTGTGAGGACACAGTGAAAAGACGATCATTTGTGAACCAGGACGCAGGTCCTCACCTGACATCATATCTACTGGTGCCTTGATCTTGGCCTTCCCAGCCTCCAGAACTCAGTAAATTGATCAGTGACTGGCACATAGTGGCCACTCAATAAATAAATAACACAACATGACTTGGCGCTGGATGTAATTTACAACTGCCTGTTGGGTACATTTACCTGTATACTATTTGTTAACTTTTTAAATTAATTTTATTGATGTATACATTTTAGACAATAAAAGGTTCCCATTTTAAGTACACAGTTTGATGTGTTTAATAAATGTACACACCCACGTAACAACCACAATCAAGGTGTAGAATATTTCCATCATCCCAAAAAGTTCCCTCATGCCTTTTGCCATCAATCTTTCTATCCACATCTCTTCCTGAATCCCTGGCTGCAGGTACCCAGTGATCTACGTTGTACCACTTATACTAGTTTGCATTTTCTAGAATTTATATATGTATATAAAAGGAATCATACAGTATATACTTTTTGTGTCTGGCTTTTTTTGCTAAGCATGCTGTTTTTGAAATTCATCCACATTGTTACAAGTATTAGTAACATTAGAAAAGTAGTAGAAGAGGAACAAACGTCTTTTTATTGCTGTTATTCCATTGTTTCAGTGTAGTATTCATTTATCTGTTGATGACTATCTGGATGGTTTCCAGTATTTGGCTATCTTTAACAAAATTGCTATCAACATTTGTAAACAAGCTTTTGTATGGAAATACCCAGGGGTAGAATGGCTGGATCATTAAGGTAGGTATATACTTATAAAAAAACTTAAAAATTGTTTTCCAAAAGTGGTTTTATCATTTTACACCCCCACCAGCAAAGCCTGAGTTCCAGTTGCTCCATATCAGTAACATTTGAGACTATCAATCTTTTTCTTTTTAGTCATTCTAGTGGATGCGGGTGGTGTCTCCCTTTAAAATTCACATGCTCAAACCTCTGAATCCCCATTTTACCCCATCTTACCAGCTATCACTTTGGACTTTCACTTTAAAAGAAATTAATGACAACCATCATAGTAAAAAAATTAATAATAGTACAACACCACCACCATAAATGGAGAACTTTTTTTTTTTTTTTTTTGCGGTATGCGAGCTTCTCACTGTTGTGGCCTCTCCCGTTGCGGAGCACAGGCTCCGGACGCGCAGGCTCAGCGGCCATGACTCATGGGACCAGCTGCTCCTGTGGCACGTGGGATCTTCGCGGATTGGGGTACGAACCCGTGACCCCCGCATCAGCAAGCGGACTCTCAACCACTGCACCACCTGGGAAGTCCCCTATTAATGGAGAATATATCCTTCTTAACCTTAGAGTATAAGCTTCATGAGGGCAAGACCTATCTGCAGCACCATGTGTGGAGCATGGTAAGTACATTTACTAGTTATCTGTTGCTGTGTAACAAATTATACCAAATCCAAGCAGCTTAAAATAACAAACATTTGTTTCACACGGTTTCTGAGAGTTCGGAATCCAGGAGCAGCTTAGTTGAGTGGTCCTAGTTCCTGGTCTATCAGGAGGTTGCACTTAGGAGATTGGCTGGTTCTACAGTCATTTGAAGGCGTGACTGAGGCTGGAGGGTTGGCTTCCAAGATTACTCACTCACATAGCTATGGGGAAGACTGTCGTGTGGGTCTCTCTATTGGGTTGCTCAACACGGCAGCTGGTTTCTCCAAAGCGAGTGACCCCCAAAACAAAGATAGACGTTGATTACACAGACAAACCAGTACATAGTGAATATTTATTGATCGAACAGATGTGTGCCTGACACTATGCTAAGCGTTTTACTAACACCATCTTATTTAATCCTGATAACAGCCCGTGGACCATTGTCCTCATTTGTGCTGATAAAACTGAGGCTTATAAAAGTGAAGCAACCTGTTCAACAAAGCTATTAGGTGGCAGAGCCAGAGTTGAAAGTTAGACCTCTCTAGCCCCAATGGACGTGAAAAATGGTTCACATTGAAAATGAATTGCATTATTCCAAAAAAATTAGATTTCTATGGTTGTTTAAATTTTGTTTGAGTCCAAATCATATACATATGGGGAAAGAAACTAGAAATTATATGAATAGGGAAACCCTCAAACTCTTCAGGAGGATAAAGAATTGCTTCCCTAATTCTCCACTTGGCAAAGTGTTTTCATTTCTTCTCTCTTACCAGACTAATGTTTCAGATTCTCGGCAAATCTTTGGAAATGAGGAAAGTCAAGAATTCTGCCACTGACTTTCCAAAGAGCCAAGACAAGCCGGTCATTCAATGTACATATGGAACTATGGTAGTTGCAGGGGTCTACAGAGCAAGTGAGAGAGTACCTGATGTCCAAAAGTTCACAGTCTTTTGGGGATTAAGGTGATACAAAAATAATCTAACACAGGGAAGTATAAGTGCCATGGAGAGGCACACAGGGAATGCTTCTTGAGGTTTGAATTTTTAAAAAGATCAGCCACATTTTAAAGACACATTTGGTGTTTATTATAATAATCTAGTGTGATAATCTCTGGAAGTCAATAGAAGATTAAGATGGGGGGCCAGGCCTTCTTTATTTTTATTATTATTTTTAAGCAGTTGGAAAACTTACAAGGCCAGTGACTTGCTTACCATTCCAGACCCAGGCTCTCAGGCAGGAACCACAGTCTCCCACTAAGGTGGCACAAAGTGGGTTTCTGGAATGCAAGAATGAAGGAAGAGTGACTAATGTTCAAAGTCCGGGTAACCTCCCTTGAGAATGTAGGAATCAAGCCAGGACAAACAAAAGACAAGGTGGAGTGGGTAGGGCAGTGGAGTTTAGGGATTGATTTGAATTAGAGTTAAGGTGATAATGCCAGGGTAGAAACAGACAAGGCAATGGTACTTGGACCCATCTTCACTGACTGGGAAGTGAAAAGCTGTCCTAGTAGAGTTGAAATGATGAAATGTTCCCCTCCCCACTCACCCCAGGAAAACTGTCTGGTGCACGGTTGGAACTGAGACCACATATGCCTTGCAAAAACTAGTTTTGGACCCAGATTTGCTTTGGCCATGGAGCGCACTCAGCTTTCAGTCTTCTGCAGAAATGCGGATTCCGTGGCTCCAGATTTTAGCAGTTTGGGGGCAGTAGTGGGGGTGGAAAAGCCTGGGTGGTGTCTACTCAGAGGTCACAGGCCCAGTTCACTTGAAGCAGAAGGTGTGAGGACTAGGGAGGGGGCCAGGTGAGGAGTCAGAGTAGACCCCAAAAAAACAATCCATAAATGTGATTGGTTTTCACCTGGTCAGCAACCCTTTGCGAAGGAGCCAGTTTGGTTATTTGGAGATAGGAAGAGGGTCAGTTCAGGGTTCTGGTCCTAGTCCCTTGATACGAACCAGGGGCAAGGGAATGGTCATTATCACCCAGTGGTGAGCCTCCTGGGTCCTCCCCAGCTACTCCTTGGGCTGCAATCTACTGTTTGCAAGAGACTGGGTGTTGGTGCAGAAACGCAGGAGCCAGATGGAGGATGCTCAGCCGGCAGCCCCCACGAGACCTGCCCCACCTCTCCCGCTCCTCCTTCCTCACCTGTCCAGGCTAGTCGCCAGGGACCAACATCTGGCCAGGCTGGAACGGGCTCAGAAACTAATCTTTGCCAGCTCGTTTTTGTATGTGGGCTTCTGATGGGGTGCATCCACATCTGTGAGAATCTCGTAGACTCTCTGACGCCTATGTTGGTGGTTTGCGGAGAGGGATCTCCTATTACTGTGTTCAGAGACGATGATTACTGAGAATGCTACACAGCCTGCAGGCGGTGCCCGAGGACCAGGGGCAGGGCAGGGGCCGGGGTGCCGTGCGGGGCCGGGGGCGGCCCGCTCACTTCGGGGGTGTTGGAGCAGCGCGCACGCAAGTGGCCAAGAAAGCCGCAGCCAGGGCGGCGGAGACACCTCAAAACCACACGGAACCTTGGGGCTCCGGCCGCCCACGGCGCGCAAGGTACGCTTCGGGGCGGTCCCGCCTGACCCCGGAAGGGAAAGTGGTTTTGGGGAAGGGGAGCGAGGAGAGCGAGTTAAGTAAAAGTAGAAAACAAAGTCATTCTGCTCCCCCCGGGCTGCCTCGCCCCTGCCTCTTCTTTGCCCCGGGCTCCTTCAGAGGGGCTCCCTCCGATGCCGCGACACTCCCTGGGTCCCAGCCTGAGTAGGGGGACCGCTAGCGTCTGACCGCTGCTACCCCGACCCTCCGGATCCAGGTCGCCGCGAAAACCCGGAGCGGAGCATCTCTCGGGCGGGAGCCGCCCTGGGCGCGAGCCCACTGGCGCGCATGCTCAGTCGCGAGTAGGAAGCTCAGCGCGGCGGTGGCGGCTGCGGTGCGGCCGGAGGGTGGGAGGGGCGCAGCGGCGGGCGGGCGGGCGGGGGCGCGGGGCCGGGGTGGGGGGGCTCTCGCCCGAGGTTCCTGGGCGCTTTTGGGAGCGTGGAGCCCGGCGCGAGGTGCGAGCGAGCACGGGGGCCAACGAGCGCGGGGTGGGCGGCGGGCGGAGCGCAGCCGCCGGGCGGGCGGAGCGGGCGGGGAGCCTAGGTCTCCGCGGCTCGGGACCCGGCGGCGGGCGGCGATGTTCCACTGCATCCCCCTGTGGCGGTGCAACCGTCATGTGGAGACCATCGACAAGCGTCACTGCTCGCTGGTCTACGTCCCCGAGGAGATCTACCGCTACGCCCGCAGCCTGGAGGAGCTGCTGCTGGACGCCAACCAGCTCCGCGAGCTGCCGGAGGTGAGTGTCCAGCCTCACCTGCGCGCCGCCCTGGGGGAGCGCAGCCGGGCCCCGCCAGCCTCGCGCCCTCCTCTTCCCCCGACCCCGTCCCCTCCTCTCCCCTCCCCTCCCCTCTCGCCCCCTCTTCCACCTCGGGACCCGGCAGGCAGGTCCCGCGGAAACCACGTCTACGTTCATTCACCTGCTTCTTCCTCCCACACTCCTCCTCCTCCCCTCCCCTCCCCCTCCCCCTCCCGAAAAGTTCCTTTTCTTTCTATACAAAGCGACTTGCTGTTTTCTGAGTAGTCGTTGTAGCTTGTGCAGTTGGGAAAACGTTCTGTGCCGATAAGTAGTTTATATACATATCTAGGTACTAGTGCCCGGCACTTGTGACTGGGCAGGTGAGGAGCCAGGTGGCCGGGGCCGTTCCCGGCTGGAAGGACCGAGCGCGGCATCCGGCTCCCGGGGCGGTCTCCTTGTCTCGCATTCCCCGATCGCTGGCCGGGGCGCCTTTTCCCTTCGGCCTGGACTGGGCCGGGAGGAGGTGGGCAGCGCGCGCGAGAGCCGCGCTATCTCGGCATCTTCCGAAGAATGTGCTCCGGGCCTTATCGCGGGTGGGCCGTGCCGGGAAGAGCCGTAGCTGCCCGGGCTCCGGGACCGGCCGTGGGGGGGCGGGGCAGGAGGGGGGCTGCGCGCGCGGAGCTGTGGGCAAGTGCCCTGGTGCCCTGCCTGCGTGGACCTGTTGCGTGGAAGGAGCCGCGGTGAACGTCAGCAGAGGCTCTGCCGGGTGGGCCAGCCTTGCAGCCGCCGCTCCCGGAGAGGCCAGGTTCAGCCTGCTGACTTCTGCCCTTGCAGTGATAAGTTACCTCTTCAGAGTTGTTTATGTAAATTAATCACCCTGCCGCGGCCAGGCTAGTCAAGCGACACATGCTGATTGTGCTTTAATGGAGGGTCAGGGACTGCGAACTTTTACCCTTCGAGCTTGCCCGGAAAACTTAGCTTGAGTAAGCCTGAAGGAGGAAGGTAGCCCAAATCCAGGGCTGTGCAGGAAGTTGGGGCAGTTAATCCGAAGGTGTGCAGGAAGTGCTGCTGGCAGGCGAGAGAGGACCTGAAGGCCCGAGCGTTGGAACTCAGATGTCTTGCAGGACCCTTTGTTAACACAAAGCCAAGACATGGTCACAGAAACACTCACCAGTCAAATGTTCTGGCATGTTAGAATGACCCGATTTGTCCTCCAGCCCGATAGAGTGTTTTAAACAGCAGAACTGTGTTTTTCTCAACATTTCAAGTGTTGTTATTCTTCTTGGATTAACTTTCCTTGGTCTGCGTAGAATTGATTGGATGGTTTGCTGTGTGCAACGGGGGTGTGTGTGTGATTATCCTCACTAGGATCTTTGCAAAGCCCCCCAGGCTTTATTTAGCCTAGAAGCAGAAAAGCCATCTAGTTCCCTCCGGCATTTATTATTTTGCGGGCATTTTCAAACACATGGTTTTGTCTGGCCTTTAGCTTCCTTAAATTTGACTTAAAAGTCATGAATTCACTTACTGCCTTAAGTTATAATAAGTTTTAGGCATTGCTACTGCCAGGAATATAGAATACTGTATGTAATTTAATACTTTTCAAGGGCTTCAGAATAACGTTGTTAAAGCTTGAGTGAAAAGCTGTTGGACTAGAAATGTTTCAGTGCTCTTTGTGGTGTTTTTGTTTGTTTGTTTTCTTTTGTAGAGCTGGAAGGTTTCCTGTGACTGGATTGGCTTTTCACTCCCTTCTGCAAAGTTTGTGGGTTTTTCTGTAATGTTGGGGGATTCAGCTTGGTATGGGAAATTATGGGGTTTGGATGTGTTAGGTATTTCTACTGATTCTAAATGGAAACTTCTCAGAAGCTCAAAATACAGTCTGATAGCCCTCAGTAAATATGGTAATAAACAAGCTTTTCAAAGGCTAGAAGTGGTCTGGCATATGGGTAATTGCTCTTACAGCTCTTAAAGTAGTTTCATAGTTTTCAAGTTGTGTAAAATCTGTTTCTCCCTGACTTTTCGTGTGCCTGGGTGTGTACAAGCCAGACTCCAGCAACCGCCTTCAAAACACGGATGTTTCATTCACAGTCTTTGCTTGGGCATCCGTTGTCTCCCGTCTGAGGTCTGCATAACTCATTACCGCTGCTCACTGCAGTCCTGGCCCCCTCCCCCAGCCCCTGTCTTCTTACCTGCCACGTCACCAGTGGGCCTCTTCTGCGGACAAACCTCCAAGGTCCTCATGGTGGTGGCCATACCTGTATTATGTTCTCGTCTCCGCGATTCATTTGCAGCCAAAGGGGAAGCCTGCATCCCCCAACCCCAATAGCAAAAGTACACATGCTCCGCAGCCTTCAGCACTGAGAAAAGCGTCTCCTCTCCCTGAAAGTCTGCAGCCTCTGATTTGCTCCAATCCCCTTGTTTTCCAAATTGAGACTCAGGATTGAAGTGACTTTCAGGGCTGTACAGCTGGTATGATACAGTCGCTATGGCCAGCTCCCCCCCCCCCACCCCCCAGCTCTCCCCTTTCATGTATCTGCCAACTGAGCAGGAATCTGGACTATTGGGCTTCTCACCTCCATCAGAAGAACCTCAGTTATTTAGCCCCTCCTGGTTTACTCCTGTCATGAAAGCTTGACCTCAGTAGAGCCTTTATTGACCCTCCAGGATTTGCTAGTTGTGGGGGATACAGAGATTAAAGAGGGTTTAATCAGCAGCTTTGTGGGGAGACAGTGACTTTAGTACAGGTGTGGTGGGTGTGGTTGGAGCGGGCACTGCAGTTATCAGTGGTTACTGACCTAATCTGGCGACCTTTTGCTGAACCCGCATCACCGTCCTCAGCAGTGTCTCCACCCTGTGAGCCTCTCACGGCTGCAGGGGACTAGAGCCCTCGCCTTTGGCCTCACTACCCCTTCCCATCCTCCAGCTGGTCCCCTCCCCCAGCCCCATCCCTTTGGGGTGTGTGTTAACAGAGACACCTCGAGGTGCCCCCTTGGGAGCACGAGCTTGGCGTCCAGTGGGTCCTGCTGGGTAAACCCCTGTTTATCTGTTGAATGAAGGCTGCTGGGTCTGATGCGGATCTTTCTCCTCTGCTGCTTTCTTGTCCCCTGAAGCTCATCACTGCTCCAGCATCTGTCCTTCTCTAATGGAGTCAGAGAATATCCAGGTCTTCAGAAGTGAAGGTCATCCACGTGGTGCGGTTGTTTGTTCTTCCTCTCTGTGTTCCTGATGACATCAGTTTTCCCCTCAATCTGTGCACGATGCTCAGATACCTTCAAACATGTGTTTACTGTGGTCTCTGTAGCCCACTGCAGGGCCTGGTCTACTAGGCAGCAGACACTTGGGAGTGAATGCTCTCAAGCCTCTCTAGGTTAAAAAGTTGAGTTTCATCCTGTCACCTCCTCTTAGAGTTCAGTCAGTCCTTCCGTGATCGCCAGATGACATTATCTCAGATACCTGCCCCTGCCCTTCCTTCTTTCTCGTATCCTGCTTTATTTTTTTCCCTAGCCCTTAGAACATTCATCACCCCCTGATTCCAGACTGTGTTCTTGCTTGCTTGTTCTTTGTCTCCTCAGCCAGAACTTAAGCTCCGTGCCAGCAGGGGGGGGGTTTGTTTGTGGCTGAACCTAGGACAGTATCTGGGACACAGTGGGCATGCCTGTTGCCTGGATGAGTCCTTACGTGCTGTCACGGGGAGATAGCCCTGTTTCTTCGCCATCGTGATTGCCTGTCCCAGACCTGACTTGTACTGTGCACTGGTCTATTGGAATTAGTAAAGACACAGATGTTCAGAATTCAGTGGTCCTGTCCTGCCTATCTTTGTTCTCCATCTCTTCTATGCTGGACGCTTTTGTATTTTGGCCGTGCGTGAGGCTTGTGGGATCTTAGTTCCCCAACCAGGGTTTGAACCTGGGCCCCCGGCAGTGAAAGCACCAAATCCTAACCTCTGGACCACCAGGGAATTCCCTTGTGCTGGACACTTTTGACCACCTTGTCTGTTCGAAATAATCTTCATGCCTTGTAAACATAATTCCTGTGTAACGAGACTTCAACCTCTTCACCTGTGATCTGTTGAGAGGATATCCATCCCCACTTGGAATAAGTCCCTTTTGTCTTAAACCCACCGTGTTTCAGTTTAGGTCTGGCCCCCTGCACTGGCTTCTCTCCCCAGCAGTTCCATTTCTGGAGGCCGGGCCAGCCATTCTTCCTGGCTCACAGGTTCAGGGACTTACTGTCTTGTCTCCATCCATGCTATCACTAGGTCCTGTCATTTCTTCCTTGAGAATGCCACCTTTCCTCTGCGTCTCTCTCTCCCCCCGAGCTGGTTTCCCCTGGATCCCTGCTGTGCGTGGCTGGCTGTCCTCTGCAGAGGCTCTCGGGGCTGGTCTGGAAGGAGCAGGGGGCACGGCTGCTGGAATCAGTTTAGGTGCTGCTCCATCACTTTCATTCTTTCTTCAAGCCTCGGTTTCCTCACGTGTCACAGTAGCACCTACTTTATAGGGTGGCTCTTGGGATTGAAGAGAGAATGCACCCAGAACACTTACAGTTAGGTCTGTGATGTCTAAGATCTTTCTGGATACTATGGCAAGATGCTTTTATTAGGAAACCATGTTTTTTTCCCATATAACAAATTTATAATATTTATACAGTTACTCAATTCTTTCAACAGAATATAATATTTTCTTGAGTTTTGAGGAAACAATGTGTTTTAAACTAGAGTTTAAAGATCTTCCTGGGAATTTGCAAGTTAATTTTTAAAGCCAAAAGTAAATTTTTAATATTCTTTTAAATAATAATTAAAAAAATCATAGATTCTGTAACATCCAGATGACCTTCCAAATGAGGCATGTCATAAAGATTTCCTGCCAGCGTTAGGCTGCGCACCCCTTTGGTTGTCTGTAGCGAAGGGGAAAGGACAGATGTGGGCTTATCGCAGAAATTGTGTTTTGGAGTCAGACGAGGGCTGGAAGTTGATGAACAAAGGGTTCACGACAGTCCGTTAGAGA